ATATATATATATATGTATATATATACACAAATATATAAATATATGCATATATACATACATATATATGTATGTAGTGTGCAGATTTTTTTAAAAAATCACTATTTACACAGAGAAAGCAAAACTACAGCTCTCTAGCATTATACACCACACATAATTCAAATTTTCTAAATAAAGATTTACATACTTTATGCTATCTTGAAATTCCTCAAAGCTGAAAGTTTCTTCTGTCTGATATGTCACTTGAACACTACTCTTTTTTGGCACAACTAAAGGCTTTGTCACAACATGGAGATGTAATATTTTCTATTTGAACGAAATATGAAAAATGATTGGCCAAAGAATCAAAAATCAAGTCTCTTTTACAGCGAACATTCATTAATATTTTGAGCAGCATGATTGCTTTTATCTCGGACAAGAAATTTATCATCTTGCATATCACATTATTTATTATTTTACATATACTATCTTATATATATCCCATTTTTATTTAAAATACTTTGCTTTTTTACATTCTTTAATAATTTACATATGCTAATGAATGGAAGGTTATGAAAATAAACATCAATAATTATATGAATTTAACTAATTACCATAATTTAAAATACTTTATTACTTTATTATGTTCTTTATGATTAGATGCAAAATGACTTGCTACTCAGTTTACGTTAGGTTACCTGGCTACGGTAAAGCACATGATGACTGTCTGCCTAAGGAGATAGATGCTTTCATGGAGGACTTCTAAAAAAACTGTTTTATATTCATGGCAAAGATGGGAAAAATACAAAAACAACCATGTAGTTAGCTGTTCATCTTGATTCAAACTCAAGTCAAACTACCAGTATTCATCATTCTCAACCACTCAGTCACTAGCGAGGCAACTTGCTACTCAAAGAGTAAATGATCATGCCATTTATGCAATGAAAACATTTACAACTGAATTCTATTTTAAAATAAAAGTTTCAAGTGAATATGCACCAAAAGTTTTTATTATTATACCCCCTTCCCTAAAATATTCATAACTAAATCTAAACTTTACAATAAAAAAAGGAAAAGAAGTTAATATTTTCCTAATTGAATTTAAAAGCAGAAAAAAAAATTAAATCTACAGCTGTATTTTTACTCACACATTAATTACATACATTTGTAATGCAAAGAAATTAACAGAACAGAGGGAGCAAATTACTAATATACTCTCAATTATACTTAAATATTTAAAAATATTATTTAATTAAAGAAAATCTTTTTTGATATTGAATTAAAAGACTAAAGGAAAAATGTATACTAAAACTTACATCAAAAGGTTTTTCATGGAATTCTCCTTTCAGAGTAATAGTTAAATTAGTTGCATTTATGACTGGGATTTTTGTTAGAACTATTCCTTATCACAGGAATACTTAAGAGATTATTGCTAATTACGAAATAACAGGAGTGCTCCTTAAACCCTCGGTATGGAATAATCTGCTTTCATTTAAAAACTGTGTTTTTTTTTAAATTGAAATATCCAACAAATTCACCTAAAAAATTAAATAAAATAAATAAACAGCATGTCACAAAATATAGGCTTGAATACACTGAATTTATAAATCTGTACACAGTAATTACTAGAGAATGAAACATTTTACATAAAATTTTTTTCCGCCCTTTTTTTATATGACAACAAAATCCTCTGAAACACACTTGACAGATAATGATATTTTTAAATCATTATCAATAAGAACAAAAACTGCAATTGTACATCACCATTCAATGCAATATAAAATGAAGTTAAATAAAAACCTTGACTGCTTAATGAAGATATATATATATATTATATAATAAAGAAGAGAAAATATGATTGGCGACAACAACCTTTAATTAACTTTCTGCAATTCAGGATCTTTCCCCTAGACCAGTACCTTCTAGAATTTGCTAGTCTATTACGTAATTGCTACTATAAATACTGAGTACGAACCGTTTTTCAGTCAGATCTTTTCTTTAATAAACACATTAAATCAACTTATAAAGTTAATTACTAAGTAAGAAACATGAATCAATTATACTGAAATGAAAATTCACAATAATCACACAACCTAAAAATAACATTTACCAACAATTAATAACTCAGAAAATGATGTATACACAACACAAAACCAAACTATTACACAGCTGTTCTTTACTAATAATAGTACACTTCAAAGTTGTGCAGCAATTGCACTGGTCTCTCTAAGTTACCTGTTTGAGTTTTTATGAGCTAGGAGGGAACCTAACCATCTCTGCCAGGATAGGTTTTTATTGTCTCACCTCTTGTCCACAAATTCCCAGGCAAATGGTTATCATATACAAAGACTGACTAGACACTTTGGTAGGTGGACATAAATTCAGAGACCTTAAAGAACCAATCAGGTCTTCTCTGGATACTCTTGTAACTGGAATAGGAAGTAAACGTTTACCAATTACGAAATGAGCAGGAGTTAGCAGTGAAGGCTCTGTTGTATGTTATAGGCCAGGGGTGGCCAAAGTGCGACTTGCAAGCCTGATACGGCTCACACAGGCAATTTGTGCGGTTCATGCATATAAAATATATGTATGAAATATGGTAAACTAAAACAATTCAGTGTCCAAAAGGAAGTAAGTAGGTAATTAATTAGTTAGACTCTTTTTTTTAAAAGTTATCAGGGGATAATTTCTTTCTATTTTAAAACCTCCTCCCTACTTCTATAATAATTGTAAATTATATGAACTTCTATTAGCTTTTAGAAAATTTAGATGAGGCTCTCGAACATTCCTGAATTCAAATGTGCAGCTCTTACTGACATGAAGTTTGGCCAACCCTGTTATAGGCCTTGAATTATTAATTACGGTTTCAATTTCAAAGAAAACTCTTGCTAGCTCATTCTATGAGAGACAAGAATGCACAACTATTTTTCTTAAACAAGTTTTGATTGTTCTAAAATGCCTGTCCCAGAACCCTACTCACCATGTTCCTTTTTCAACATTATTTCTCCATATTATACAGTGGAAGGAAAAGAAATTTTGTGCACACAGAAGTTGAATACACTTCCAGATTTTTTGCAACTTGAGAGCAACGCTTTAGGGCTAGAGTTAGCAAATACATGGAGACTAACATTAAGTTTTTCACAACTATCAAAATATTTTCTTGGAAGAGAAAATTTTTTCAGCACCTCTAATTCAACTCGCCAGTGAATTCAGTCCTTAATTATTTCTAATGGGAAGGTATCATCCCAGTTCACACACCTAATGTTCAAATATAACTTATAATATAAAAATGATATGATTTTTACTTTCCTCTAGAAGGGTTAAAACACTCATAAACTCTGGCCATGATTTGGAGAACAGTTTTTTTTTTTTTTTTTTTTTTTTTTTTTTTTTTTTTTCCTCAGTACAGTCATCTGATAATTTTCTTAAAAAATCACAGTTCAGCTTAATCTTGTCTATTTTGAGACTCCAGATCATGCCCCAAAATTTTGAAGCGTTAGCTATTCTAAACTATAACCCTTTTCAATCCACCAGATTAAGTGTTTCAGAATTTGACCTTAATTTTCTAAGCTTCATCTTAACGTTTTAAAAAATCTTAGCAGTGTCTGAGGATAATCGACATGCCTCTTCAATAATACAAATCATCTACATACAATGAGGAATCTAATATTTCATACCTTTCAGGATTTGTGCTTTTATATTTTCAATATTTTCATATTAATTAAACAAAAAGCTAAAAACTGCATAGACAAACAAAAAAAAAAAAAACCGAAGGAACACAATATCTTTAAAAACTTAGATCTTCCTGCTATCCACCAACTAAAAGAAATTTTAAATATCTGGTTGTAACAAAAGTTTTCGGCAAAAAAACTTTTATTAAGAAAGTTAAAACTTTCTTAATGAAGTTCGAAAAAAAAAAAAAAAAAAAAAAAAAAAAAGATGGAAGTAGTGCCTCTAGTGCAAGTAGTAATCACCACAACAAATCTATCATTTTCTTCCAAAGTTTTGGTAGTTTTTCAAAGTCTTTGGCCCAGAAACTTAATTTCTGTGTGTCTAAAAACAGATCAACCTCACTTCAAATGTCCTATGCGGAATGGAAGATAGCACTAGCAACATGTAGCTGCAGGTGTGAAAAAAGTAGAAGTCTGAGGGAGTGATGTCAAGGCTATACGGTGAGTGTGGCAAGAGATCTCATTTAAGTCCATACAGAGTCCAGCTGGTAAATGCAGACATGTGGTTTTGTATTATCTTGATAGAAAATTACCTTTTTGCACTGGAACTCAATTCAACGTTTTTCCTTGATAGCGGCATCAACACGGACTAGTATCTGGCTGTACACCTTACTGTTGAGGGTTTTACCTTTTTCCAAGTACTTTTTGTGAATATTGCAATCCCACCAGATGCAAAGCATGATCTTTTTATTAGTAAAATTGCACTCGACGATGCTGACAATGGGGGCAGATTAACCCCCTTTTCCACCTGTGTTGTTGACGTAAATTCACTTTTCATCACAAGTGACGATTTGGTCTAGAATTCTGTTGAGTTGATATTTGAACAGAGTACAGGCCTGAACATATCTGTTCTTATCTGCTTGAGTCAGCTCATGTGGCACCCAGCGGTTGAACTTGTACATCGAGTTTATGCGATGCATGGCGCGACTAATAAACATGGCAATTGATCACACTTCTCTATCATTGCCTGGATGAGCATGTTCTTGTTCACTGGAGGATATTTTTGACAAGCAAATCACCTTCCCAGAGTATCACAAACATTTTTATTGGGATTTAGAGTTACAGAATGTTCTGGCCATACAAGGTGTTGAATATTTTTGCTGTCTATTCAATACCGAACAGCAAGGGTTCGATAGCATGATGCGCTGTAGTCCATAAAAAGAAATTTGTCACTGAAAATGCCACAGAAAAGGGAAATATGAGGCAGCAGAACTTCATCAATATATTGTTACCCGTTCATAGTCCCGAATGTAACCACATGTAGGGGAATGTGGCCATTGATCATGATGCCAGGGCATACCATAATACTGCATCTCAGATACTCAGATATCTCAGATCATAACTGACACCACTATCATGCCAGATCAGGTGGCATCTACAATTTGATACCAGACTGAACCTACTCTCTTCTGAAAATAGCACACAAGCCCAGTCTTGTTCAGTGCAACTGAAATGCTTGTGACACTACTGCAAACAGGGGGTATATTGCTATTTCGACAAAAGGACCACACAACAGTTCTGTGAGTATATAGTCATTCTTCTCCCAAACATCCAGCTACAGTTTTTCAGGAAATTTGTTGTCCTATGACAGCAAAATATCCCTTCCACACCTAGCTGTGGTGCCTCAGTTTCTATTTGCCTATAGGTCAATTTCTCTGACCTTCTGCAATACATACATGTAACACGACCTCCCTTGTGAGACTGGCTACACATTTCAGTTGTTTTAAATGAATTGCACAATTGTGAAACAACTCTTTGGGTGATGCTGAACTCCTTGGCAACATCTGTTACTTTCTACCCTTCTTCGATCTTTTCAATGATAAAGCCACGCATAAAATCATCTAAGTGATATCATGAAGACATATTGAAATTTTAAAGATCAACAGTTACATTTTTGCGATAAAACTTCCAATTAGTACAACAGCTGTCCACATATGTTAAATGTTCTACGTCTTTGGTGCTATCATGTCATAAAAAGGCAAAGAAATGAAAATTTGCATATGCAAACCTCTTCTTACAGTATCTCACACTTATTCATATTTTCTATAGTTTGCTTCCTTTCATTTTGTAGCTGCTATGGTTGATAGTATTGTCCACCTTTAGCAATTGTTCAGCACTGTAGCTCGAGAACAGTTTTTCTAATATTCCTCAGAAATAACTACATCCGATTCCAACGAATTCATATCAGTTACAGAATGAATTCTCTTCTAATTCTCTCACACTATTTTTTCCATCTAAAAACAATTCATACAATTTGCATTATTCATCCGTATCTTTCTTGGCTAAACTTTCCTTTAACAGTTTAGAAACTATCTAGTTCTGTCAATATTTCACATTAATACATAAATGTACCTGACTGCAAATTATAAAAATTCAAATTAAATACTTTAAAAATTTAATAAAATTCATGTTCTTGCCTAAGTTTTAGAGTGTGATTTGGTTCCATCCATCTGAAGTTTTAATATTAATTAATGATTAGTTTCCATCCATCTGAAGTTTGCAATTCTTGGTTTTTTACAAATCGAATAACTTCCCGCCGATGCACCATATTAGTACAGAAATTAAAACAAGGTGGTCAATCCAGTAAAGACACAGCATCCAGATGATTCTTTATTGTTGACATTTATTATACTGTTTTACATATATATTCACATTTTTCTTATTATTAGGTGGACCAACATTCACAGAAATTGCATAATGAATCAATATGTGTTTCTCTTCTTATTTTTACATTACATAACATTTGCCTAAAAATACATTCTCTGAACTCAGACTCTTTTTGTTTACATTCATTCTGCTGCAAAGCAGTCCCATCTATTTTCTCTATTTTCAACAGCTAGAAATATAATCACATAGTAATGAGGACACTGGGGGCAAAAAAGAAGGACGAACGGGGGTCAGGAACCTGGTACAAAGGGGCCAAAGCAAACGTCCAAGACCGAAGAGCCCCAGACGGAAAAGGATTAAGGAACTTTGAAGAAGGAATAGAAAATAAAAGAGCGCCATGAGTAACAGAGCGCATCGAAGGGCCAAAACCCCCCTGTGGGATGGGATTCCGACTAGAAACATGGCTTTAATACAGATCTGCCCTGAAAATGAGGTGTCTGTAATGCGGAAATGAGGGTGTCATGGTCTTGAGGCTTGCTGCCCATCGAAGCGCCAATAAACTGGAATGTTAACTGGTGGTACGAGCCAAGCGTCTGCCAGAAAATCCCATACATGCTCGATGGATTGAGACTGGAGATCGTGCGGCCAATCCATACGTTATCCTCACTCTCTAATAGCTGTTCGGCAGCTACTGTGCGATGACAGGTGCATTGTCGTCCATGAAAAGGAATGCGGACCCTAGGCCCAAAAGACCACATTGGAAGAAGAAGCTCGTACAATAGCGGGTCCCGTTGACTAACCGCGCGATGTAAAGTCGTACGCTCCAGCTGAGCCTCCCAAAAGAACACTCCACCTCCAGACCGGTCCCGGGCATGAGTCGGGATATTGCGCCTGCCCCGCCGCTCAGGGGTAGGCATGAAATCGCGCGCAGACAAGCTGCCTCAGCGGTAAGTACTCATCCCCAGGCATGGTCCGCCAATCCGGGTGCCGGCACCTGCAAGCTTTCTCCATGGCAGCGGGAAGACCCCGACAGGGCGTCGGCAACGACCACCACGTGCGTCCGGGCCACGTAAACGATATCGGCGCAGCCCGGTGCGGGGTCTAGCGATTCTCTGTCTCCCGCTTCTGGCCTGGGCTAACCGGCCTGTGGGTAACCGGGCATTTTTGTGTTCTCGTGGACCACCACGAACCCCCAATAGAGCTTTCGAGAGTTGAAAGGGGGATCCGCCAAAGTGTGAACGAGGTGTGAGCACTGCCAACGCGCAGCCACCGTGTACACTGCGGCCTCCCCAACTTCCAAGATGCGACCTCGGTAAGCATCCAGAGTGTCCAAACAGATTATTATTCGCCATTGCGCCGCTAGGGCAGCAACCGTGTGAGGAACCGTAATATACGGCATCACCTCGGGCTAAAGCTGATCTGACCAACCCGCAACAGCTTATACTACTCATCAACCCCCCAGAACTCAAGACCGCATATCTGCGACATCGGGCTCCGACAGCACCGACTCAAGCTCTGTTGGCTTGCTTGTTCGCGCTGCCTCTTCTGCAGCTGATAGCTAATTTGGCAACTTCGGCTGAAGGGTGCATACCATTAAGGGGAGGTGGAAGACGAATGTGCAAGGCGTGTTGGCCTTAGGGATAGGGGAGGGTAAAAGTTAATGCTATTTTAGTACGGGAATTAGAATGTGGTGGTCTAACAGACTACGGGGCAGAGGGGGGGAGGGAGAGACAAATATTAGTTATAGGAGCTTAGGGAAAGGAGGGAAGAGGAGGGTGGGGATGGATGGAAAAATGGATGTATAGAAGAAATAAAAAAGAAGAAGAAGGATAAGAAGAGACAGGAAAAATAAAAGTGCATTTTCGGAAAAAGTTGAGAAACCTCCAAGGGTAACTGTATGAGGAGATAAAAGGAACAGTAGACGCGGGAAAAACAGGTCGCGGGGGTGGGAACCAGTAATCCTCAACATACCGAACGGGAAGTACAATTATTTAGCAAGGCGCGAAGACATTATAATATTATATTATAGATAATTTCAAAGTATTTTACTGGTGGAATTACATGGTCCAAACCTACCAAATCATCAAGTTCGTAAATTGGTCACTTCTCTATGCGGCGACACATTAACGATTAAATAGTGAATATATCTATATTATACTCAAACCACAATTTGATTCATTCTATACACTATTCGAAATATTTGATATTTTTTATTCCCACTTTCACATAATTCCAAATTCGTAATCTTAACGCACAATTTTAACAGGAATTCAAATATAATTATCATAAACTACTAAATCGAATAAAAATACTAAAAGTTGTTACTTCATTCAAAAAAAGAACAGGACAATTAAAATCTTTTGATACTATGAAATTTTAATAATTTTCCTAAAATAGTATTACAGTTTCAAATTCCAATATAATAAAGGAAGCACCATTACATATTTAATATTTCAATACGATTATATTTCTAGCTACACTCATTAAACACTTTATTCATAAAATATTTGGTGTGAAATTTTAAAATCCATAGCACTATTTGAATTTTGTTTCACTGTAGTGATTTTAATTTAACATATGATTGAAAGAAAATAATTATAAAATTCCATTATGGATAAACATTAAATTTATCACACACAAAATTTAAGCTAATTTTTAAACACAGACTAACAACATTCAAAGCTACTGGGAATGCGTAGTTGAAACAATTTGGAATGTTTGTACCCCCATCCACCCTTAATCCTTAAAAACGCTCATTAAATCCTTTTTAATTTAAACACTAGGTTGGATCAATTTTTGAAGTGTTGAATTTTTTCACTTCTTGATATTGAACAGATCAAGAGTGATGTTTTATATGGAAGCAGAATAAAATAAAATTAGTCATAATTTCAAAGCTCCAATCTTTGTTGTTCACACACTTTATAGATGGCTTTTCCATCTGTGCACCAGCACTTATAAGATCCTATCTGACTAGATGAAATAATGTTGTAGATGACAAGACAGATAATTTTATTTCTTGATGAATAATTTCTTATAACACATATTCTCCTTCACTTCACTGTAGATGTGAACTATAGATCACTTCACTATTCATCCCACAATTTTATATACAGTTTATCACGATTCGAGACAATAGGTAATACAGAGAAGCAATGAGACATGTGCTAGCATGGTAAGAGAGAGTAGAAAGGTTACTGCATGTTTCAACAAAGTTGTATATAGATTTGATATATAGTGTTGAATTTTAAGTTCTGAATGGCAATTGGACAAAAGGTTATGGCATTGCAGATGACATAATGCAGGTTAGTTTTTCAGGTAACTTATTTTAGATTCCAGGAAGGGGGATGTAGCCAAATTAAAGTTAGTAATTTGTGTTTTACATTTTTTTATCTTACACACACATATAATATATACATATACATAATTATTTAATAGAATTTTTTTTCTTTTATGCTAATGAAAATTATCCTTTCTCCCAGTACAATGATTTTTATCATATGGAGAAAATACAAAGATCTGAAAAATCATATTTTGAAAAAAACTTAAAAAACAACAATAATTGCAGTTTTTAATAAAGGATAAAAATGTGTGATAAAATAACATAATCCAAACTGTAACTCACCTTCAGGAAGATAATATTGTGTCTGGTCTTTTGAAAGAACTAATTCAGGAATTTTATGAAAATTTTCCAACCCACAGTCTCCAGCATCAAAACCACAAGCTTGGACATTACAAGCCTGTATTTAATACATTTAAAACTCAATTTGAAAACATGAATGTAATACATAACATGCACAAAAAAGTTTCATGATATTCAAGGACTGACTTCTAAGTGCATCCATTTTATAACTAATAACTTAATTGCTTATGAATTTCCCTATACATTTAAATCTAAAGTTGCACTAACAACAGAAATGATGAAAGGAAAAATTAATTTACACATAAGAAACCTGACCTACAGTCTTCAGTTTAATTCATATTTCAGAGTGCTCAGAAAGGCTTGAAAATGTGATGAATACAAATTTAAAAACTGATAAAAATAAATGATGACATAAAAGCAATGAAATGATAAACTGAAATACTCCTGTACTGTATTCTAATTACATACTAATGAAATCCTGCATATACCATAAATATTATCTAATGGTTATTACATTAATGAATATTTAATTGTGATAAATTGTGAATTCTATACAACTAATGATAAAAAAAGACGAAAATTTTTTAAATTACCCTATCACAGTATCTATCTGCTAGCCAAGTATCAGCACAATCTTCATTGCAGTAATCTAGATAGAAAAAATACTTATAATGCATAATGCATTAAGACTGAAATTTGAGACAAGCATAAAATATGTCCAAATCACATACTCTTAATTATTAAAACATTTAATCTATGGTATACACATATACATGGTTTGGTTTATTTAATTATGGCAAAGCACATGAAGGCTATCTGCCAAAAAGGATGAATGCCTTTAAGGATGATTTCCTAAAGGAAACTGGCTCATATCTATGGCATATATATCCTATCATATTATCCATAGAAAAAGCCACAAAAATGCCGATGCAGCCGAGATTCGTAACTTGGTGTATCTACCAGTGCTCAGCAACTTCACCGTTCAGTTGTTGGTAGGCCTATATGTGTATATTATACAAACAATTTCCATACTATGCATATACTTTCAAATACATATCTCCAAATGTTACAATCACATACTTGTCCCAATTGCACACAATCCTTGTTCTTTGCTTTCTCTATATGGTTAAATTATATATTTGGTGTTTCACAATTCTAATTCCTATAATTTATGTTCCAAATTGATCAATGATGCAAATTGAGATGGAGTCATTACAATGGTATATTATGCAAACCATGTTCTATGGCTGTCCATAATACAGGCCAGTTTGTTACAAGTTGCTGAGAGGTATTTAGTGAGATCTCCATAGTATTCAAAAAAAGAGTTCAACATGATTAAAATTCAGATATCAAGAGGGCGTATGAGGTACCTAAAACACAGCAAATTTCTCAATGATATACTTTTGTGTTATCCACACATGGTGGAAGAGAACTGCATTATTCTGCTAGTTACAAATCATAACATTAGGAAACATAACATTCATAAAGAGATATAATATATGATCTGTAGTATACTCAGCACATATTACTCTTGTCAAAGAAGATTCCAGTTACATTAATGATCCTTCAGAATATTCTACACTATTGCTGAAATATAACAAGCTTTCTTAATTTAATACCTTCATGAGAATAAAGATCTATAACTTCATACAGTATCTTCTGCACACACAATGTGCTTGTTAGCTTGAAACAAATGTAAATATGTCACAAAGTTAGCCATCCACAATCCAGTAATAATGTTCTCTTGCCCAGTAGGGATATTTTCATGGGCTGCAGTTTAAATAACAGTATTAATAGAGACTACAAAATCCTACAGAATACCAGATTATGAAGTATAGCGTACAAGCGGCCAATGAAATCATTAAGTTTGGAAGTTATTGACTACAATGTTACCCTTCTTAGAGTGTTTGCCATTCTTTTCAGGTACAGTAATTTCACTTCTTGCACAATCTATAGACACCTCCTCTTTGAAATATTCCCACTATAATCTTTAACGATTGTGCAAACCCAATAGACGTCATCATATAGCAGACAAAAAGCCACATCATTCTAGACCTATAATTTGTCCACATTCAAACAATATAAATGATATGAATTATCTATATCTATTAAATCCTCTCAGAAATATGAATAGGATAGATATGAATCTGCAGCTACACCAAACCAATACCTATAGCTGTTTGAGGTCATAAATAGTTACAGTGGATATGCAGCCATCTCTGAATCTTTTTAGAAGTGTTACATAGTTAGGTCTATCTCCTTTTTAACCCTGCAATGGAGGAGCCGGCGTACAGAGTACGCCAATGCCATCTTTTGGGCTGTAATTTTTAGACAACTCCTTCCTGAGCTTCCTCCCTTTCTCTACCCTCCTAGAAACATTCCATAAGTGCAATGCATCTGGTATTTCTGGTTAGTGTGGTTTTCGCCTTCCTTCCGAAAGCAGTTATTGTGAACATGTCGCGTAGGCGAATGCAGTATGCCGCTCCTCCAAGTATGCGCAGAAAGAATATTGTACCTCCTGAAGATTATCTGCGCATTTTAGAAGAAGTCTCGGTTGAAAGAAGACTCCGACAATTTGGATAACGCATCTGATGTCGATGAATCGGAAGTCATCGAACATTCTGATCATAAAAGTGACTAAGAAATTGAGGGAAATGTTTCTAAACATCCTCATTTTCCTTCCTCAACTCAACTTCCCCAACAAATGACGATTTTAGTGATGTTGAAAATGACACGAGTGATTTAAAATATGAGGACTCTTTTGTAAAAACAATTTACAAAAAAAAGAAAGTTGCAGGAAACTTTCTGAAAGAAGAAAAGGAAACTTATAAGTGGAATAAAGTTCCCCTCAAGAGCAAATTCGCCAGAACGCCTCAAAACAATTTGATGAAAAAAAAATATGCCCAAGTGCCAAAACTTGTGATAATATAAATGATGAGCTTTCTGCTTTCCAGAAAATCATAAATATAAGTATGATTGATGCTATCGTACAATATACAAATATTTATCTCAAATGTAACAGGACTGCAGATGATCTCCAAAACATCTCAAAGAGAAGCATGTAGGATATTAATAGAGCAGAAATGTTGGCCTTTTTAGGAATTTTATTCTTATTAGGGTGCAAAAAAAATGTCAAAACTCAATTTGAAGGAAGCATGGGCAAAAGACGATACTGTAATTGAAATTTTGCAAGGAGTCATGGGTCTGAAGCGATTCAGAAACTTGTGTGCTGCTATTAGATTCGACGATAAAGGCACAAGGTATGTGCGAAGAAAAACTGATACGCTTGCTGCACTAATAGAATTTTTTTAAGCTTTATAAACTTTTACACACCAGGTGACGAACTCACAATCGACGAGAAGTTGGAACCCTTTCGCGGAAGATGCTTTTTTATTCAAGTCATCCCCAACAAGCCCGCAAAGTACGGTCTGAAACTTTTTGCAGTTGTTCACTCACAAATGTTTTATACATTGAAGCTTGAAATTTACTGTGGCAATCATCCCCCAGGACCTTATGAGGCTTCTAATTCAAGTAATGACATTGTCAAAAGGCTAATTGTTGCGTACGAAGGCTCCAACAGTAACCTAACGACCGATAATTGGTATACAAGCTACCCGCTAGCTCAATATCTCCTTACCAAGGGTATGACACTTGTGGGCACGCTGTAAAAAAATAAAAAGGAAATTCCAAATGAATTCCAGTAATCAAAAACAAGAGAAGTTGGCAGTTCACTGTTTGGTTTTCAAAAGGATATGACAATTGTTTCATATGCAACGAAAAAAAATAAGTGTGTAGTACTGCTCAGTACTTTACACGATGATGACAAAATTGACCAGGAAACGAATAAACCTCAAATAATCCTGGATTGTAACAAATGTAAAGGCGGAGTTGACACCATAGAACCAACTTTGTATTAATTTCACTGTCGCCCAAAAAACCAAGAGGTGGACAATGGCAATATTTTTTGCACTGCTAAACGTAGCGGGCATAAATTTGCAAGTGTTCTTGAACTTTGCCAAACCTGATGCAACCATCAAGTTTAGAAGATATTTTTTGGAAAAATCTAACTACATCTTTGACGAAATCACATTTTCAGAATCATCTGAAAATGCCATTTCTCCTGTCGCATTCCAAAACTATTATTAGAAGGCTGGTAATAACAGAAGCCGACAAGACAGCCGAAAGGGACGAGGAACCACCTACAAGAAAGATCAAAGGACGCTGCGCTGAGTGGGGTAGAATGAAGAATAATTACACTACCAAAAAATGTTCTGAGTGTTTTAAGTTTACGTGCAGAAATCATCTGGACAAGACAGTACAACTTTGCAAAACCTGCTGCAGTGAACAGGGAATCTGAGGAGGATTAAAGTAGCAAAAGGTCTTTATTTCTTTTTATTTGTGATATTTATTGCTTACTGAACTTTTCTTTATGGAATATTTATAATTTGTAAATTTGATTTATAATTTTCATACAGAAAATAATATAGAATACTATTTAATTTTAAATTACATTTCCAGTGCATTCCCTTTTTTGAATTAATTAAAAATTCGTAATTTCCATCTTTACTGCTTTTTTTCTGTTATTCTTTTTCTTCTATCATTTTTACTATGACGAATCACCTTATTAATGCCATGTATGAGATTAAATACTTTCAAACACGAAGCACAGACTCGAAAAATGACCTGGCGTACTTCATACGCCGCACCTCTAAAATTGTACCACATGCCAGCCCCTCCAGCTGAGGGTTAATGGCATTATATAATCATATGCAATATTTATCAAACTATTCCTTTTCATCTGATTGCTCTGCATAGTGCATCCAGTGTAATTAGTAGAAGGAATATTTTCTTGGGTTAATTAGCCCTACAGAATAAAATCTAACAGTTTACTCTTATATAACATGATGCATTTATATGGGCATTATTAATTTTCATTATATTCCATAAGATGATTAGATCATGTGCGTCATCTATCCAACTATTTAGTTTCACCTTGTTCTGTATAGTGCACCAGGTGAACAGGAGTAATGTGATGATGTGGGCAATATTTTCTAGGGCATTTCAGGACAATGATCTCTACAAAATAAAATCTGACCACTTACACCTACTTAACATACTGTTTATTAGCTGACAGAAATAGTATATAGCATAATACTTTATGCTCTACCACAAAGATAGTTAAAAAATGATTCCAAGAACATGTTAAGGAATTATCTTCATTCCAAAGTACTAGATATGAATCAAATGTAATTCGAGTCAGAAAAATGGTTATAAATTTTATCACTATAACCAAGTATTTTATAAGAATTATGAGATTAAGTCATAATATTAAGTATAAAGAGAAACCTAACAGTTAATTAAATCTATATATCATTACGTGAGTATTACTCTTATGGTAATAATTATACAACTTACATTATACTAAAACAGTTGTTTTATTTTTCTGATTTTTACAGCTAATTTGAATTAGTTGATCTATTCATTGCCTTCTACAGAGATAAGCAGTAGGCAAAATGCATCAAATTATGATCATAGAAGATCCATTGGTTGGGCAGTATTAATTACTGATTTTTAATTATGGTTAACATGCTAAATATTTTCTGGTTGGCATATTCATGTTTAACATATTGGACATTAACAGCCTAATGA